AAACAACAACAAACAGTGTATTACTGAAGAGGGGAAATAATAATGGTTAATCAACAAGGAAAAGCAACAATGAATAATCAACAGGTGAAAACAAATGATAACAGGTAAACAACGAAGAAAAACAATGGATAAACAACAAGTCAAAACAACAACAAACAGTGTATTACTGAAGAGGGGAAATAATAATGGTTAATCAACAAGGAAAACCAACAATGAATAATCAACAGGTGAAAACAAATGATAACAGGTAAACAACGAAGAAAAACAATGGATAAACAACAAGTCAAAACAACAACAAACAAACAATCAGAGAAAATTACACCAGAGAAACTATGAGAACAAAGGATAAATAACGAAGTGAAATAACAATGAACAAACAACGATGGCAAAAAAAACAACCAAGGACAATCAACGAGGGAAAATAAAACGACGTCGCGGCGACGACGACGACGTGTGTGCGACACACAGAGGGCGCCACCTCACCTCGTTACGTATCGTGTTGTTGGCGTGGCTAGCGACCTCGCTCACGATCCTCAACGCCTTGTCCGTATCCTCGCTCCCAAAGTCCGGCGACGTCTCTGGCAGGTGCTTCCGGTAATCTGCGTGCACACGGGAATGGGGATTGAGTCAGTGAGTCGGGGAGGCGATGACCTCAACAAACTTTTTCACATGAAGCGTCGTTAAAGTTGCGTTGAGTTTATCACATCGGCTGACTTGAGATAGCCGCAACAATTTATGTTCATGGTTTTGACAACTGAACTGCCAGCTCGAAAAAAATGCAACGACCTTCATCCGACTTTGAAATTAGTCTATGCCTATGCCCCTCGGAAAGGCTGAAAACTGTTTGTCTAATTACATTTTTTGCGTAATCCGCGTTCATTTTTCCGTGCGACCCTTTTGTTGGCTTTACAACCTCTCCACAATTTTCCAGAACCGAAGTAACCCTGTATGCCCACGTGACCTCGCGGTGACCTTGCATGAGGTCGGGGCTTACCTTCGAGCAGGAGGCGGTACTGGGGCAGGCGTTGGATCGGCTTGAGCATGTAGTGTTCATCACCGCCAGATGCGCGCAGCGTTCCCTCAGCGCCTGTCACCCAGCCAAGCGAGCAGAGATACTATACGACGTGCGCCAGTCTATAAGTCATAACGCCGCGCCAGTCTACAACCCCCACAGCCACCGCTAGCGACTGATAGCAACACAGTTAAAGCAGTGGGTTAAGTTACGGGTAAATGAATTGATTTCCCACAACTTTGACCCCGTTGGCTACCGCATCTGAGGTGGGGTATTTATATAAAAAAGACGCTGTACTGTTCACGCTCTAGTAATTAACCTCTAACGATTCTCTCTATAAGTATAGTGGCCCCGTCTGCAACCTTGTAAGAGAGTATATTACCGAGGTTAGCAGGGCATGAAAATAGCCAAAACTGTGAACAGGCCCACGCAAAATTTTAAACAGGCCCGTAGACAAATTGAACAGGCCCTTAATTTTGATTCAATTTATTCGCAGTATTAATATAAGTATGTAGCTTGTGTTTAATTAGGGCATACTCATAGTATTTTATTTGCACAGTTTGTATT